CATAAACGATGGAGAAGTATCATGTCACAACAGGGAGCCTTGGCACAGTCTGGATGTGGTCTGGAGGCTGAGGATGCCTGACCCCGCTCCTGCCAGTACAGAGCACCACAGGGATGTGGTTTGGGGCCATGGGGCTAGGTGAAGCAGCGCTGTGGGAGGCAGTATGGGTCAGTGGTCAGTGCTCTGTCTGCCAGGTTGGGTGGCCTTGGGTGAGGGGCTCTGCGTGAAGGGACGGAGGTGGGACGTTAGCAGCATCTCCCTGCTCTCTGCTATCTCTGAGATCTCATCCTTAGGATCTCCAGCTGCTATGAGTAGGAGTGATGTTAATCACCCCAATGGTGCACCCACAGGCTTGTGTGATGAGCTGGCGGTTATTTGTATGGCTGTGTCCAGGAGGAGCCAGTCACATGTCTCTGCTTGTCCAGAAAGGGTGTGCATCGCAAACTCCTATCCCACCATCTGGGCCCGGGGAACTCATCCGCAGGTGGAGACCAAGCTCCATGCTCAGCCACAGGCCCAAGAGCAGTTAGGTGAGGGAGTGAGGGGCTCAGCCCTGCATGCAACAGCACTCTGGGGAAAGTGCCTAAGCCCAGGTTGGCTGTTTGCTGCCTGCCCGTGTGTTGGGGTGCCACTGGAATGGGGGGACAAGGCAGAGCAGCATGAGGACAGACAGGGAGACAGACATGGTCATCCCTGCTGGCTGCAAAGGTCCATGCTGGTGGGTGAAATGGTGCAGGACTGGAGGGCAAAGAGGAGCAGAGGAAGTGCGATGGGGCACTGGGCACTGGCACTTGCTTTTGCATGCTTCCCCCTGCACTCCGCCCAGCTCTGCCAGAGCGCTGGGCATATCCCAGATAAGGCAGCTGCTGACTAGGATGGCTGACAGCCCTGCTGGCTCTCTCCCTATGCCTGATGTCTCGTGCACGTCATTGCATTACCAGGGACTAGCTAGGAGCTGAGCCCCAGTTTTCAGGATGTGCAATCAGGTCTTCCCTGCCCCCACACCCAGCCCGTGGCTGGGTGCTGCTGGCTGAGGGTTGCTGGTGGAGCTGCCTGAGGGCTGCTGGGGAGGCAGCAGGCGAAGCAAGTGTCTGCCTGCATGGTGCTAATAAGCTCTTGGCCCGCCTCCGTGCAGCCGGCTGCCCTGCTGAGGTGCACCCAGAGCCATGGCCAGCTGAGTGCGTCCAGGTGCTAATGAGGAGAGAGCCAGACTTGCCGCACCTTGCACTTAATTGCTGCTGTCTTTTAATGAAGCTCTGTTGCAAAAGAGGCAATGGCAATGGCCTCCCCTCCCCTCCTCTCCCTCCGGCAGCCTGACCGGCCAGCTCCAGCCTGGATAGTGCTTGGTGCCTGTGTATCCTGCACCGGAGGGGCTTAAACAGGAGGGAGGCAGCAGCTGAGGAGGAACTTGGCACTGGGCTAGTTGTCATCCCTGTCTGGTCTTGGCATTCCCCAGGGCCACTGGCTCTAGCAAACCCTTTCACTCTCCCTGTTGCCCTGGCCAGTGGCTAGTCTGCAGAGTGCTGGCCTGATGTTTGCCCTGGGACAGGGGCAGTGCAAGGCTGGCAGCTCTTCCTGCCACCCCTGGCTGCTGCTGACTGAGGGGATGCTGTGCCCTCTCCTTGTCTGGGCTGCAGGTCTCTGGGCAAGGACTTTTCTTTTCCCCTCCCTGCAGTCGGATGGTCTTAGGGTTCTGCAGCTGCAGCCTGGCTCCCTGCACATGGATCTGGTCTCCTCCAGCATCCCCACGCAGCCTCCACCACAGGGGAAGCTGTGACCCCACATCCCACCAGTGAACCAGGCTCCACACTGAGGGAAGGACCCCTAAACGCTCAACATCTCGCTCCATGCTGTCCATGGCTGCTCAGTCACAGAGAGCTGCAGTTCGAAGGCTGAGCAGACTCAGGGAGGGCATGCAGCCTGGCATGGGGCCCTCAGCTCTTTGGAAAGTCCCCACTCTTGCATGAGGTGCCCAGCAGCCCAGCCAGGAGGGCAGCCACTGCCATGTGGCTCTCTCAGGACACACCTGTCTTGTCACCCATCGAGGGTGACAACCACATTGGGAGGGCAGCCGTGGTAGCACCAGCAGAGCTGGGTGTCCTAAGTACCTGTGCTGCGTTACTCATGTGCTGTGAGGGTATGGGGCACCCCACTCCCTGGGGCGGAAAGGAAAGCCTGGAGCCTTCCTTTCTCTTCTCTGCCAAGTGTGCAGCCCAGGCATCAGGCACGCTGGCTGCTGGCTGCTCTTGCCAGCCCAGCCCCGAGATGTCTGTATGTGGATGCAAGACAGCATAACTGGGGCTGAGCTGGCCTGTGGGTCTGCCCCCGCAAACGTGGTGGCCACTGTGCGCTCTGCTTCTGTCCTCTGCTGTTTACACCGTGGCTTAGTTGCACGGTGGGGAGCATGGGTCATGACATGACTCAAGAGAGAAAGGAGGTCTTTGTAAGGGGGGAATGGAAGGCTTTCCCTTGGCTTGCTCTGGCTGAGGATGCTGAGAGACAGTGTGGAAAGCCAGTGCCGTGGAAGGGGCAAAAGGGCAGCACGTGTCCCAACCTATTCCCTGGGCTGTGCCAGCCCCGGCCTGCCCTGTTCCCGGCTGTGCAGTGGGTCTGTGCGGGAAGGAGTTAATGGCTAGCCCATACCTGCAGTTGCATTTTAAAGATGTGAAATTAAAGCCCGTAATTTATTCTCCCCACACACGAAGGAGCAATTAGTTCTAAACACGGCTTAATCAGTCAGCGCGAGATTGATTTCTGTAGACTTGGATTTGGTGGCTGCTGGCGTGGAGCCAGCCTGGGAGCAATCTCCAAATAAATGAAGTGCAGAGAAGTAAGCCATTACATAATATGATAGATGAGGCTGGAACTCACTCGCCTCTTCATTAGTATTCCACCGTACACCGGCAAAGGCACCAAACTTTCTCCCTGGTACCTTGGTTTTCCCCCCCTCCTCATCTCCCTGTCCCTCCTGCAGCTCAGCCGAGGCTGAAGCTTGGGCAGAAGGAGCCCGCGTGCCTCTCTGCGGCAGCCCATGTTCCCTCTCTGCAAAACCCCTTGTCTTCAGGCAGTGCTAGCAAAAGGGTTTCTACACCTTGCACCTACTCCTCTCTGGTCTGCTCTTGCCTGGGCTCTGCATCTTGCCTTTCCCCTTTGAACACTTGGGAAACTGAGGCACAGAGCACTAGGACAGCTTCCTAAGACCTACATCAAATCAGCAGGCAAGAGCCAGATATCCTCACCTCCTTTGGTCATCAGTCCATCACCTTGAAGGCATCACCCCAGGACCACCCAAGTCCATCACCCCCCAGGGTAGTGGGCAAGGTCCTTGGCTGCTGGATGGTTCCAGGTCTAGGGTTGATTCCCACCTGGAAACTGGCCTGAGATGGGCTCAGTGATGCATGGGCTGCAGCCAGACCTGGCAGAGCTGGGGGAGCCTGGTCTGCCCTGCTCCTGCAGAAGCTGGGGCAGCTCATGCAGTTCCTTGCTGAGCTCCCAGTGCAAATGTGGAGGAGCTGGCCATACTTGCATTGGGAAGAGGCCTTAGGAGAGTGCTTCCTGCCTCCCCCTGCCTTCTTCAAGGAGCTCTCTGCTCCAGCCAGAGAGCTGTGCAGAGCTGCAGCAACAGCAAAGAACAAGAGGAGCAGAATATTGCTCTGAATAAGAAAATCCCTTGCGGTGCTGGATGTGGATCCAGAATACCGGCAGTGTATGGGGAAAGCATTCCCTGACCAGCCCTTGTGTGGGCAATGAGGTGGGCAGCTGGATTTGCAAACCCCCTCTGTGGTGGTATCAGAGCCTCTTGGGCAGGGTGCTGCCAGTAGAGAGCTAACTCTCCTCTTGGGAGATAATCACTAGCCAGGCTGTGGCTGCTGCAAGTGCGCTACTCTCACTGGAGCTGTGTTTTTGTGCAAGACTGTCCCTGTATTGCTGGTTTCCAAATGTGCTGCAGGGGTTGAGACCGTGGTCTGTTCTCAGCCACGGCTCCAGCACTGTGTGAGTCCCATGTGCCTTCTGTCTGTGCCCCGAACCTAAACTTGGTCTAAGTGTTCCCATTTCTGCCACACAAACTGCAGAGAACCAGTCTCTCTGGGTCCCTGTCCCCACTTGCTGGGTACAGCAGGTCTTTCAGGGACAGGATGGCTCTCCCTTGCATAGGGTCGATGCTTTACTTTGAACTAAGGAGGTGAGAACTCACATTATGGAAATCATATTTCTTCTTTCCTAATGGTGAGGGAGGAGGGGGAGCTCATGATGCCGGGCGGAGAAAGCAGTCTGGAGCCAGCTCGAACTGCAGCCCCGAGTGTTGGTACCCAGAAGAGTGTGGATGGGTGAATGAGGGTACATCTGTACCGTGGAGCTGGTGAGGGAGCTGGCCACAGAGGCCTGTGATTGCCTGGCAGTGAGGAAAGCAGACTGGGACCTCTGCAGAGATCCCGGTGGAGTCTTTTGGGCTGTGTGGGTGGCCGGGGCTGGACAGGCTGGAAAAGTCCAGGACCTCCTCATGACATCCCCGGCTTCAGTGTGGTACAGGGCCTGACTGCCCTGCTCTTGCTGTCTCTGACACCTTGTCACTCCCCAGGCTCCAGCAGGGCCACTCCTGACTCCTGCCAGTGGAGAAAAGCTCCCCAAGACTTGCTCTTGCTTGTTGCAGCACTGGTACAGGTCCCCTGGGCATGTTATAAAGACTTTCCTTACGCTCCCCATCATGACTGCAATTACACTAACAGATCCACTTGCTGATAGATGCAACAGAGGGCCAAGGACCAGTGGTCCTGGAGGTGAAATGACTGGCAGTGCCATAGGTGAGACCCACCAGCTAAGCCCTTGGAGCCCCAACAGAGCAAAGCCCTTCTATCTCAGAAAGCCGTGGCAACCCAGGAGATGGAGCCCAGGTCCCTTGCACCCCGTCCCCCTACCACCAGCCCCACAGGCAGTCCCCGCTGTGCCCGTGGTGCTGGAGCTGATGCTGACCAGCTCTTCTGTGCTTGTTGTCTCTGCAGAACTCCATCCGGCACAACCTCTCCCTGCACACCCGGTTCATCCGTGTGCAGAATGAGGGCACTGGCAAGAGCTCCTGGTGGATGCTGAACCCCGAGGGTGGTAAGACAGGAAAGACACCCCGCAGGCGGGCAGTCTCAATGGACAACAACAGCAAGTTCCTGCGGATCAAGGGGAAGGCCAGCAAGAAAAAGCAGCTGCAGGTGACGCAGGAGCGTGGGGAGGACAGCCCTTCCTCCCAGCAGGCTAAGTGGTCAGAGAGTCCTGCTTCCCATGCCAGCGATGAGTATGATGCTTGGGCGGACTTCCGGACACGGGCCAACTCCTCAGCCAGTACGCTGAGCGGGCGTCTCTCACCCATCATGTCCAACCATGAGCCAGATGAGTTGGAAGAAGATGATGGTACCCCATCCTCTCCTCTGATGTACCCCAGTCCCTCCAGCACCATGTCTCCTTCCCTGAACGCCCGTTGCTCTGTGGAGCTGCCCCGGCTGACCGACCTGACTGGCACCATCAGCCTGAATGAGAGCCTCGGGGAGAGCTTACTCGATGACTTGCAGGATGGTTATAACATGAGCCCTTCACAACAGCTCCCCCCAGCCGCCCTGCGGCAGCGAAGCTCCAGTTTCACCTTCAACTCCAAGTGCTCCACCATAGGGGCTGCCACCAACACATACTGTGGGACTATCTACAGCCAGCCGGCCATGGACCTCATGCGCCGCCTGCCCATGCAGACCATCCAGGAGAATAAG